AAGCTGTTGGTTGTTTGGGATTCCATTTTGCCCAATCACAAAGCTCCTGCATAAGGTCGTGCCTGTCCCCTTGGGGGCAATGTGTGTGTCACCGTGGTCACCCCTGAGTGCAGAAAGGATAGAGGAAACACAGTGCCTGCATGACCCTGTGTTACATTTGCAGGTCAAAACAGCCTGATTTCAGCGGTCACACATGCCGGGTGATATTCGTAAGGTATAAACAATTCTGAAAAACAAGTCCGCCTCTGTGGATAGTCCACACAGCATAAAACTGAACGATTTTGAAAAACCATATGTATAGTCCACACCTGTAGATAGTCTGCAGAGCCTAAAATTTCAACTTTTAAACATGTATAGTCCGTGGACTATAGTTTAACAATTACGGTAGTAGCATTGAACCGGTGTAAAGTAACTCAATTCCGTGAACAAAAAAGTTTTTGCGATCCAAGACTTTAATCTAATTAAGCATTGTAAAAATCTACTTATGCATTGCATATTCACTGATGTTTGTTGTGGCTTTAGACTGCCTTCCTGTAATGATGCAGAGGGGTCAACTGAACGTTGAAATAAATATATTTAAGCAGATCTAGATGCAATGTCCCTTGAAGTCACGTGGTCAGGGAAAAGGGGGCGGCGGGGAAAAGCTCACCGGAGAAAAGCTCACCGGAGATAAGCTCACCGGAGAAAAGCTCACCGCAAAACCGGCAGATTCGGAGAAAAGCTCACCGGCCTTTGAGCGGATGCGGAGAAAAGCTCACCGATATTTTTCTGGCTTAGCTTGATTCTGCGTCAAACGTGGCAATTTAACACAATTCACATTCGTCACTTCATTAAAAATATGCCCTCTTTTTTAATATTCTTGAAGTTCATTGGGCATATTTACCAATTCCTCAGAAATTTGTAATCACCCATTCTATAAATTAATGAAGCCGCAAGCATAAAATCAAAACATCGTACACCGATAAAAAAGGCAACAATTTATTGACAGCTGACAGCGCGCCGTCGCTAGCTCTGTCAGATAAAGAGGTTTGTTCTTTGCGAGCTATAATGAATAACGGTGTGTGAACCGGTTCAGCTCCAAATATTGTGTAGTGCCTAATAGATAAGAAGGTGTTTGTTGATGTAGTCAGTGTCGCCTACGCTGTTTTCTTTTGTTAATTTCACTAACAAAACTTCAGTTGCGAGAACAGCTTCGCTTTTCGTGTTAGTTTTCTTCACACCGCCGTCGTCGTTTGAGCGGTTTTCATCATGTATAACGTTTACCAATTCGCCCTATTCGCTGCATAACAGAAGGCTACTTCTTCTATAGGTTACGAGTAACAACGGTGCCATTGCGCAGCTCCGAAGGTCATGGGTGGCTCACCGTAGAAGGGCACTCAGTATCACACAAAGGGAACGTGTGAAAACACCAGCACGAACGGCTAGAAAGCGTGCATGTCCGTGGACGAAAGAAGCCTCGATATCCTATTGACTGTTTTATCCTGTTTTCAAAGGCTAACAAAAGCTTCAAAGAGAATTTCAGGCACCGCGTTGTTTCGCATGCACTTTTGAATTTTCGGCAGTTACAGCTTTGATTTTTTAGGCTTTAGGCAGACATCATTAAATCTTTTTTTTATTCTTCAGGTTCAGCTTAACAAATATTAGAAAAAGGACGTTTTCTTTTTTACAAAGCTGACGAATTTTAATGATTATAAATTGATACATGTTACGCATTATTCAACAGCCTCCATATAAAAAGAAGAAAAAATATCGGTAAGCTTTTCTCCGCATACGCTCATTGGCCGGTCAGCTTTTCTCCGCATCCGCCGGTTTTGCGGTGAGCTTTTCTCCGGTGAGCTTATCTCCGGTGAGCTTTTCTCCGGTGAGTTTTTCTCCTGTGAGCTTTTCTCCGGGATTCGGGAAAAGGAGTGCTATTACCTAATTTGCCAACAGCACACCAATGGGCACGATCAAAACCCACCAATTCAATAATCGGTTTTCCACCACAATATTTATTCCCGTGTAATCACCAATTCGGCTTATTAAAAGTCTTGAGGATTTAGCCTATAGCACACCCATTTTGGATCTGCATCATCACATGAACATGTTTGCAACCAAGTTATGCAACGAAACTACCATATCGGCACATTTTTAGCAAACTGAATGGTCCCACCTGTTACACTTTTAGCATTGGAAGCAAACCAATTCACAATACCACCGTGGCATACATCGTGCCTAGGATTAGTGCCGCATGTGACAACAAAATATCTTAACTAGGGGAGCAAACCTAATCAATCCTGTTGATTAAAATAAAGCACCTATATACGGAGAAAATTATCAATAAAAAAAGAGGTCACTCGAAAGGGAAGCTTTCTCGCTGGACAAACATGACTTTTTATTGGACGTTACGCAATGTAAGGCCGAAGACAAAGCGCGCGAAGGCACAGAGACGCGGCACTTCGGCGTGCCAAGGAAGCTTTGAACACGCCGCCAGACCCTTGATTTCGACGAGTTGTGCCTTTTTCCTGCGACACTGCGCTTTCGTAAAATTTTCCACGTGTTCACAACGGCAAGTCTCAACAATACACAGAGTCTTAAAAAACTTCTTCGGCGAATGACGACGAACGAGTAGAAAACGTGTTTACAGCACGCTGGAAAACCGCAGCAAAACGCTGGCAAAACCGCAAATCGTATCCCAACGAGGTTGCGTCCGGTGGCTTCACTTGCGGGAGCGGGAAGCGCGATCCAGCAATTGTCATTGAGATCAGTGGTCAGAAGGAGCTCGTGTGGCTCGTTGATAGTTTCTGGCCGTTTTCCAAAACTCACTCGATCTAACTCTAGGGTAAAGGTGGTTATGGAAAACCTACCCGCGTCCAGCGTTTCTCTATTTTTGTTGTCACGTGACATAATCCGCCAGTGTAACTCGGAATCTTTCGAGTAGGTTTGGAACGCAGCCTCGGCGTATCGCGCTCTTGTACGCTATGCGCCGTTTAGTTGCTGCGCTCGGAGTATGAAACTCGGAGCGTCGGAGTAGGAGTAAAGGAGTGCCGACTTTAAGTGCCCATTAAAAGATGTGACAGGGAGACTCTGCTTCATGTAATGCAGGCAGTCATGCATGACGTCCTCTACATTTTTCTTTCATTTTTTTTTTATTTTTACTTTTCTCACTTGGTAAAGTATCTGCTAAATCGGTTTTATAGACACTGGCTTCGACACACCGAAGGGTCCTGTGCACGCTGCCTACATTAGAAAGGCTTGGAGAAGTGACTGTGAAAATGTGACGTTAAACGTTATTGGGCCTCACATCAGCATTTTTTTTTTCTAACTGCTTTGAAAAGATGAGGGTTGGCCCAGCACTCCGTCCCTTCAATGAGGAGGTGCTCAGAGGCCTCTTTTTCATCGCGAGAAAATTGCAACGTCTTCTGGCCCAGCGCAAGATCATTGATCCTGAAGATGTCGAAGCTCATCAAGATCATGACGTCACACTGGAGAAGGTAGAGGTACAGCTTGGGAGCCCCCCGCTCCCGAGCTCTTGGGAAAAGCAAGTACCATCGCCTCCGGAATCTTTGGGTGCACCTCATTAATCTCATCTGTGCGCTGGCGCCCAGTGTATAATCAAAAATTTATCTGTGCGCCCTGGTACCCACACATATCGATAGCTGGTGCTCAGTGGATAAATAAGAATTTATCCACTCTGGTCACTACCAGAGCTGGTGAGAGGATAAATTTTTCTAACTATTCGCACAGTTGTGTTCGAAGACCCTACGTAGTATTAGCAAATACGATAAAGGCTAGTGCTGGAAACTCCTTCAAAAGCCCGTGGAAGTAGTTGCGAAAGACGACAGTGGCACCTCTATCGTACCTACAGCCTACGGATGTGGACGATATAATCTATTTTGTAAGCCCCATTTTGTTTTCCCGAATTTTGAAACAATTCATTACGGTAGTGCCCTTCAACCACAGAATTCACTGATCACAACTACGGTGATAGCTAAATTATAGGGTAAAAATTTACGACATTTTAGGTACCATGCCACCAGCACGCTTATCCTACGTTATCCAGGGGATTAGACACGTTTGGGACGTCTCTTTCAAGAGACGTCCCGAACCTTTCCCGGGTGGAGGAATTTTCCGCCTATTCAGAACGAAATACTGTTAGCGCGAACAAACGATCGCCGGTTTAACCAAAGGATCTCAGCAAAGTTCTAATTGCTGCGGAAAGAGCTCATTTGGGTCTATAATGCAGGTGATAAAAATTTCGTCCTTGCTAATACTCTCTCGAAGTAAATGAGGAAAAAGCGCTAATGTCGTGTTCGCGCTAGCAGTGTCGTGATGTGTACTGTGGCGTCCTGCCCGAAGATGCACGTCTCTGGCAAAGCATTTGGCAAAGAAAGTACGATAAATAGTATGTGCAACAGAATAAATAAGGAGTACCGTAAAGAGTTAGCCAAACAGTACTAAACAGTTGGACCCCTGCGGAACGCCAAGCCAGCCAAGCGCTAACGCTGCCTGGGCTCCGCACTCCGGCAGCACGCCTGCCACACGTTGCGCCCTCTCGCGGCCGTCGATCCGGTCATCGATGAAAGAACCCCCCCCCCCCCCCCCCCCCCTCCGCTGTGCAGGAGAGTGGAGCCTATGAGATGTAAACAGGCAACTTCTTGCGCGAAAAAACAGAGTTCCAACAAAATACATGCCTTTGGCGTTTATATTTGAGTATACACCGTAAAGGTAAATATTTATGTACTTAATCGCACAACTCTGTTTGAAAGTAATTGATTTTAACAATTCATTCTGTATCTTTTGCTTGCTTAATTGAGTAATACTCAAGAATGAGTTCCAAGATATCAAAAATAGAAAAATTATTTGCGGCACTTATATAATTTTTTTGTTTATGTGGAAACACTACATACTTTGTATTAAACCTACAAATAGACATGAGTTATATTATAAAGCTGTTTTACTGTTTTCTGAATTCGTGACGGCGGAGGGCGTTTTGCACGTAGTACTTCGGTTATTGCAAGATGGCTACCGCCGTGTCGCCTGTGAGGTATCGTTCCAAGCTTTCGTTTTATCCAAAACAAGCAAAACAAATAGCAATGAATGTGCTAGGAGTTCTAACGAAAGAGGCAGGAAAATCTGCAAGCACTACGAGCATCTTTCAAAGAACGGCGCAGCTCACTGCTGTGAGTGAACGGGCGCTATATAAGTGGTCTGCCGAGTTTCAGAAGAGCGGCAGAGTGTCAACTCCGCAAACGAAGTCCAGAGGCGGGAAGAACTGTGAACGAGCGAAGAAACTCGACGACTTCGACCTTGGTGTTCTGAGAAGAAAGGTGCACGATTTCTTCCGCAGGAATGAGATGCCAACGGTTGCGAAGGTGAGAAAGCTCTTCAGTGAGAGCGACGACCTACCGCAAGTCTCGGTATCTACGCTAAACCGAATGCTTAAGAAGCTCGGCTTCAAGTACCGCAAACGAAGTAGAAACGCGCATCTGATTGAGAGCCCTAACACCATACAGTGGCGATGCAGCTACCTCCGGCAGATCAAAGAGTTCCGCAAAGAGGGAAGGCAGATATATTTTACGGACGAAACCTGGGCAAGCGCTGGGCACACGAAAGATCGTGTCTGGGTAGACACAACAATCGCAAGTTCAAGTCAGGCCAGGCGTTCTGGACTTACTACCGGATTGAAAAATCCAAGCGGTAAAGGTGAGCGACTCATTATCACCCACTGCGGCAACGAACAGGGCTTCGTAGATGGTGCGGGAGAAGTATTCCGAGCGCGGAAAGGTACGGGTGACTATCACCAAGAGATGGACGGTCCGCATTATGAAAAATGGTTCAGCGAGAAGCTGCTCCCAAAGCTTGCCCCCAACAGCGTAATCGTCATGGATAATGCACCCTATCATTCGGTGAAGATTGAAAAAGTTCCGCGGATGTCGACACGAAAAAGGGATATTCAGGACTGGCTTTCCAGAAAGGGTGTTGCGTGGAGCAATGAAATGGTGAAGGCCGAGCTACTGCAGCTTGTTGCAACAGTAAAGATTCAGGGCAACCAGTACCGTGTTGATCAGATGGCTTCCCTGGCTGGCCACACAGTTTTACGCTTGCCCCCTTATCACTGCCAGCTCAACCCAATCGAACTGTTTTGGAGTATGGTGAAGGGGTATGTGGCCGACAAAAACAAGACGTTCAAGTTTGTCGATCTTGAACCGTTGGTCTTGGGGGGCTTCGCTGAAGTAACACCTGAGAAGTGGGCACAATGTGTTCGCCATGTCATGAAGGAAGAGGACACCATGAGGAAAGTTGACCACATCATCGATGACGTCGTCGACAGTGCCGACAGGATACTGATCAACCTTGGTGACGAGGACTCTGAACGCTCTGAGGATGATAGCCCGGAATACGCTAGCATGTCAGATGATGACCTGGGGTGCCAGCCTTTGTAAGATTTGTAGCAACATTTGTAGCCTTCATAGCTCACTTGGAATGCCCATATTTTGGTTATTTATTATTTAGCTCAAATACCCTCAAGGCAAGTGCCTTGAACAGGCATGAGAGCTGTAAATTATCAACTATAAAGTGTACATATTAGTATTAGCATGTTTAAACAAAACATTATCAGTGATGTTTGTAATACTATAGTGACTAGAGCATAGTTGTAAACCCGAGACTGGGGATACGGACAAGGGACAAAACACAGAACGACACGGACGAAGTCTCAAACGCAGCTACAAACTTTATTTCACAGGACAAACATATATGTCACTCGCCACCCTTTTTCCCTTCCTTTTCCCAAAACTCTACCCCTTCCCTCTTCCTTTTCCCAGGCCCCCATACATTCCAGTCAAAAACAATTTATTGAAGCAATGGTGAGGGTGCAGGCTAGCTGGTGTAAATTGAGCATAGTTGTAACCCGAGACTGGGGATACGGACAAGGGACAAAACACAGAACGACAGGGACGAAGTCTCAAACGCAGCTACAAACTTTATTTCACAGGACAAACATATATGTCACTCGCCACCCTCGTCCCCCTCTTTTTCCCTTCCTTTTCCCAAAACTCCACCCCTTCCCTCTTCCTTTTCCCAAGCCCCCGTACATTCCAGTCAAAAACAATTTTGATGGCGCCAACTCCAAGTTGCCGACAGATCCCGTGTCAACTGCCCACACCGCGACATCCCGAGGTCACTCCGGCTCTCCCAAACACAGTCGCAAAGACGCCGACAGAACTCTTTCCCCCCACACACACCGTGAAACCCCGAGGTCATCCCGGTTCTCTCAAACCAGTCAGCCGCAAAAATTTTTCGGCTTCCGAACTTAAGTGGACGGACGTGTGACTAATGCATTCGGGAGACGTCTTTATTCTAATGGTCTCTCTCACTAATCTTTTCATGTCGTTGTTTTCTTTTTCTACAATCTTTACGTCTCCCCAGGCTGGAGTGCAGTCGGCACATTCATTCAAATGTTTAGCTATTTCCGAATTCGTATCATTGTTTTTTACATTTCTTTTATGTTCCGATAATCTGTCATTCACACATCTTTTGGTTTGACCTACATAAATGACACCACATTTCATTGGTATCTCATACACTACACCGATCGCGCATGCTGTAGACTTCTCTCTGTGCGCCCTTTTACACTGGTTGGGTGTTCTCAAAAATGGGGTCAACCTGTCCAATCTGAAATCCCTCTCAAAAACTACGTCGGCGCCGAACTTCTTTGCGCACGCCTTTAAGTTGTGTGAGACGTCATGGTGGTACGGGATAACCGCCCAACGACCCCGCCGGGGCTCTAGACTTCCTTTATTTCCCGAAACTATCTTTTTTATCTGTCCAATTATGCTATCACCCGAAAACCCAGCATTCCTCAGTCGACACATCTGCTTCTCCACTGCCTTACTAACGTAGTGTGTGCAAGATCGGTTTAAGGCATTGCCTAATAATGATCTAATAATGCCGCATTTAACTGTCCTGGAGTGGCAACTCGAGCGCGGCAGGATAGGTTTCGGCATGAGTTTTCCGTACTCCCAGCATATACCATTTTTCACGTGAATCTGCAAATCCAGAAACTGCAAGCTCCCAGCTTTCTCTCTTTCTAGCGTAAATTCCAATTCTGGCGCGGACGTCCTGACTATTCTTTCCAAAGCTCTTCCCAGCTTTTCTTCTGCCGTACACACTAAAATATCATCGACGTAACGTCGGACAAAACCTACGTTCTCTGGCGTTCCTCCTAGAAAACTCAACACACTGGAATCTAGACTGTTTAAATAAATCTCCGACAGAATCGGCGCCACCGCTGACCCGATACCCCAGTCTCGGGTTACAACTATGCTCAATTTACACCAGCTAGCCTGCACCCTCACCATTGCTTCATTACTTGTTCCTGAGGCAGGCATCGTCCCATTTTCTTCGACCCAGTTGTGGCACTCGTCACCAGTGGCAGTGTATGTGCAAACGTTGCTGACTTTGTGCAAGTTGGGCCATCGTTTGGCTGAATTAGAAGCAGATGTGTGTTTCTTCGGGATCTGCCTAAGAAAGAAGCATGTAGACCCGACTATGTTTGGACACCTTTCGTCGACCGGCATCCCGTGGAGATACAAGAAAAGGCTGCTCAAGGCTTACAGGAACTGCACAAGCGACTTAATTGGCAACATCCGAGTTGTGTGTGACCAGTTGTGGGGCAACGTCCTGGGACAGGACTTCAGAAAGGCGAGGGACTACAAAGATTGGACTGGACTCAGGCGGATTGACTTCGAGAGACTCTGGTACGTGAAAAGAAGGCTTGTACTTGAAGGCATAGGTGCACGCAAATCGAACACGGGATTCGCCCCCAAGAAGAGCAACATTGGCCAGGGCAGCGCAGCGGAACATGGGATTGTCAATCCATGTGAGGCTGTGTTATCGGAACGTGCAAAAACGCTGTTGATGAAGGGTCCTAAGTTTTGTGTCAATGTCAAGCCATCGCGCCTTGATGTTTTTTCGAATATCCAGACGGTCTCCAGGGCGATTGATGTTGATGAAAGACCTGCTTTTGTTGATCAGGCACTTGACCGGATGGAAAACCTAATGAAAGACGATTATCCAATTGAAAAGAGAAACTTTCGGGAGGTCCGAATGGTTGAGAGAGAGTTGAAAGAAAAATCTTTACAGTTGTTGCAAACGGATAAGTCGGGAAGTTTTGCTGTGCTTCCGTTTCAAATGTTTAGAGAGAAGGCGGAGTGCACCATGAGAGGCCTATTTAATGAATCTGACAAAAACTTGACACGACTGAGGGGAGGTATTTGCAAAGAACTTAAGGAGTATGAATTCGACCAATTAGTCACTAGAATCAGAGGCGCACAGCGTTCAGAATTGACCTTTTTCAGAGATTTCTGGGCGCATGCGCCGACTCTGAGAGAGAGGGAGGAAAGGGAAAGGCGCCATTTTTGGTGGCTCTCTCGTCCGCTCGGTCGCACAGACAGTGCTGGTTCGGCTTGACTCCTCCGCTATTCTCGCGGCTTGGTTTCAAAGTCGTCGCGCCTCACCACCGCGCAGCTGTACGTTGAACAAATAAAAGCAAAAATGGTTCGAATGGAAGCCTTTATGGAGTTTCAGCAGCCTTTGTGGGGGGTGCACAAAAAGACTCGATGTCAAACACCCCGCCCTTTTTGCCCTGCTTTCAAAAGCCTATAGGACGCGCATCCCCCGTGTCAGCTGGCTGGGTCATCAATGTGGCGGCGGGACATTCTGATTTTAACTAATACAGTAAATCTAAACATGATGGTAAACCAGAAACTGGGACAGGAAAACGAAAGCGCAAAAGGAGGCAGAACATGAATAGGCAACGTCTCTTGAGACGATGCCTGTTCTTTTTTTGCGTTTTCCTTTTCCTACACCAGTCTCAGGTTTAATGCTTGAAAATGAGCGTGTTGGTGAATAGATACGAATACATGAAAGGATAAAAGATCAAGGACACAGGAATTCTCAAAGAAGTCCTGTTTCCGTCCCTGTCCTCGATGTTCTATCATGTATTCGTATATCAAGTTTACCGCCATGTTCAACTTACAACAGCTCGCCTACACTCTGACTATTTGTCCGTTAATAGTAAATGTGCACGCGAGGTTGTGTGACGTAATCATGCCGTACATGGTATTCAAGTAAAGAATAACATGATAAATCTTTCCGTCCTTCAGGCGTGCGCTATAGACATTCGCGTCTTACCATGTTAAAAGAGAAGAAAAATCACATAAAAATATCAGTCGCTGGCAAAATATTTAAAGCGTGCAAGACGAATTTAAGCCTTTCGGAGACAGAACCCTGATGGAATGCCTTGGCAACCAACCGTGAACTCCTTTGTTTGCCGGGCTCACTTTGTCGAAGGTTCGTAAACGTGCTGAATTTAAAGAGAGATTTTTCTAACATGCCGTTCCTTTCTTTTTGTTCGTGCAGGCGAGCCTTCGCGATATCAGGACCGCCCGAGTTTGTTTACACATTCCCGAATACGGTGATGCTCGTGCGTTCGTGCGGTACACAGGACGGCGAAGTGACGGACGCAATAAGCTCGAATAACTTAAGCGATCGAGGGGAGAAATATCAGCTGCTTGTAGTGGCCGGGCCTTATAAACGGAGCTCACAAGCTCCGCACAGGGTAGATGGTTGGGGCGGTATCGAAACTGGTCACCATTACTTTCCTTACATGACACTCTGCGACTCTTCCTTGAAAGCAGACCCCACTTTAAGTAGCCAATTGCAAGACGCGATACCGAAGTGACGATTAAGTGGCTCCGAGTCGATGGTAGGAACTGATGGAGCGTCGGATGTCTACGCACCCTTGAAGGTATAAAAACGAACAAGGTCCTCTGTATCGTAGACAGTAGCTTTTGTTAATCCTCCAGGTCGTCCTCAGCCATTTCGAAGAAAATATGCACGCGAAACGAAGACAGAAAGACACGTTCAGAATGGGGAAAGACGGAACAACGCCACCAGTGTAGACACGTAAACACATGGACCGGGAGGAACGCCAGGCCTGGCGCAGACGACGGAGAGACGGTACCAGAGCCACCAAAAGTGTTTCGAGCGATTTCCGCGAGGGCGCGCCACGATCGTGGTCGAACTATGAAAAAGGTCCATTGGGCATCAAATTTTTTCTGAAGGATCACAAGCCGGAAATGCCATTACGTGCTGTAATCAATGAAAATGGAACGTGGCAGAAAGTTGTATCGGGGTTCATCCAGAAGGGGTTTTCTTTTGTGCCGTTGGCGAACGCGTTATCGCTCAGGAACACTGCGGAACTAATCGAAATTTTGGGGGAACATCACCATGAGCGTCGGTTTGTTTTTTCAATGGACATAAAAAACTTATACTATTCCTTGGAGAAAAATCTCCTGATGGAACGGGTCAAAGACCACCTGGAGCTAAATCTTGTAAGATTTCAGTCTGGAGCAGGAATTTCGGTTGACAGTTTTTTACG